AGTGCGGTTTTGTGAGTGGTTGTTGCACCAACATGACAATAATCCAGACTTTTTGAAGTGCATATTAGTCACAGACGAATCCACGTTCACGCTTAACGGGGTGAATAACTTCCACAATACTCGGGATACAATACCTAGACTTTTTACAGAACATTTTCCCAGCCTGCTAGAAGATGTGTGTAAAATGTGGTTTCTCCATGACGGTGCACCGCCCTATTTTAGACGCGAAGTGCGTGAGTTCTTAAATGAATCATTTCCGAATAGGTGGATCGGACGTAATGGACCCGTAGCATGGCCTCCGAGATCTCCAGACTTAACACCGTGTGATTTTTTCTTTGCGAAATGAAACGCTTGGTGTACAAAACTGAGGTGCACACGGTTGACGAATTACGTCTGATAATTGAGCAAGATGCTGGCTTCATTCGGGGAAGGGACTCCACTCTAACAGCCTGCACCGATGCTTGGCGACGTCGAGCACGCACATGTGTTTTTGAATCCAATGGTGACAAATTCGAAAAGTACGTTCACCAAAAAAAGTATTTTGTTATTTTTGTTACATGTGCTCTCGGGTTTTACGACAGAGCCGTACTTCGAATTTCAATTCAATTCAACTGAACAACACTTCCACATTAATTTTTTTACTTGTTGCCCCAACTTTGCGGACATCCTGTATAGCTATTGTATAAAAGAGTTGTTAAATAACGTAATGAGTCAGCGATAGGAAAATGGTATAACAAGATGGGACACATATAAATATTATTACGAGTAGATATATTTTAACTTGTTGTTGATATGTTTTTGTCTTGCTGCGATCGACTCGATTGCGATAGACCGGTCGGCCACCTCCGTTCTAAAATGTTAAAAAACGGTAAAAGTTCGATCGTTTTTTGTTCCTTTCGTTTCTGGCTTTTAGCTCCGCCACCTATGGAACGATTTTCAAAACTACAAAATTTTGTCGTTCTTGGCATAGCAGTAACTATGTGTAAAAATTCCATCATATTCAGAGACGTAACATACTTTCCAAATCATACACGAGTCAATGATTAGCGGACTGACCGACAGAGAGACCTACGGAACTGAGTGACATGTCATATAACATCTAAAAGTAAAACTTATCGTGTCGATATATTTCTACGATGTTTTTTCATTTATTTCCGTTGGTCTAACAGTGAGGCACTTATTTGGATAAGGATAAAAATATCCGTCTCCGGTAATAAAGGAAATAACGACCCTATCTTGAACTGTTTATTTAGGATCATCCCATGTGTTTATATTTTTACGAATGAAACTGATGTTAGAAAATGAAACGCTACGCCCCATCCTGAGAACCTTGCGAATATTCGTGTCCGTAAGGCTCTAGTGGTTTGATAAGACTGTATTCTAGCCGTTAAATATTATATATTATATATAAATATTGACTTTTTATTAACGTTTCTACCATAGTAGACGTTTTCAAAATACACGTACAACAATTGACAATATCCTGCCACTGTCAGTTTTACAGTACAGGGTGTTACTTAGTGCAATCCCATTAACGCCGTACTAGGCCAAATTTGAGTTGAAAGGATCATATAAACATGTGCCCTGAAAAGTCTTGTTTCCAAGCTTAAAAATACTGATTATAATTTTTTTAAATTTTGACAGTGCTATTTATTGTAACAAGATGCTAATTTATAACTAACTAGGAGATAATTATGAATTTAAGTAGCGTCCTGGGGGACAGTCTCACTAACAATATTGACACTAGTATTTTAAAAAAAGATATCTTTTCGAATCTAGCAGATAAATATGCAACTTGTCTTTATATTGGCATCTCTTCGTATCTCACTTTCTTTCTGAGAATAAAAATGCCCCAAGCTGTGGAAAAGTTATTAAAATAACATCGATTCAATTTGACCGATGTACAATATTTATTTATATGCCAATTTAAAAATGCTTAGAGTGGAAAGTAACAGCAATTTGACAAAATATACACAAAAAAAAATGTTGAAAATGACCATCTACCAATCTTATGAAGGCTTCTACTCTCATATCTTAACAATTTTTCATCATTTGATGAAGTAGTTTATATTTGGCCATCAGACAAAAACGTTGTGTCGTCATTTGCTTAATCCGGAAAATGCATATAGTGTCTTAAAAGGTCAGCGGCGTACATTTTTTTCTCAATATTATTCGTAAGATGCTCTGCCAAAATTCAACAAAATAGACAGAAAGATCTTTGAGATGTTAATAAAAAGGGAACATATTCATAAAAATTTGCAACCCTATATCTTGACAACGAAACTTTTAGGTAAGGTTACCAGACGGTCGGGATTCGTTGGAATTGTCCCGACATTTCATAGTATGTCCAGAATCTCGACAAAATTCAAATTGTCCCGAAAAATAACAAAACATACATTTAAAGTTATGGAAATATAAAATTACGCGGTTTGAATATGGCTTTACCCATTCGATTGAACATTTGCTCATTCGCTCGCCGCCGACCGTTCTTTTTGATTTTTAATATTTATTGTCCCGACTATAATCCCAAAATCCCAACTATTTGACATTTTACCCAGATTTTTTGGACATCCGAATTACTTTTAGGACACATATTCACATGAACTTTTCTACCTAGATTCGGTTCAAGAATGTGCGCATCTAATTACGGCCTATCATTAAGTAACTCCCTATACAGGGTGTTTCAAATTCGACCCTCACCATTGGGATCTCGGAAACTGTAAGAGATACGAAGTTGTTTAAATGGGGGTAAAGTTGCGTATTCAGGTTATCAAAAAAATGTCGCTTAGAAAGTTTCGAAATTCAAACAGGCGGAAAAAACGAAAAAAAAACAGAATTTTCTCAAAAGCGTTTTATCTTTTATCTGACTTTAATTCTAGTGGAATTTCAAACTAAATTGCACATTAACATTGTCACTTTCTTCCTCTACAAGATGGCACAATTACAATCTCACTATGACGTTTCGTCCCTTGTCCTCCAGCATCAACTTTATTTTTTCTTATAGACGCCACATTGGACTTACGGGCAGATGAATAGAGTTTTTAATTCTGATTTCAAAAATGCATAATATGTCATACATTGACATTGTCAACCTTTAGTTATTCCAGAAAAACATAATTTCCTAGGTGTTTTCAGAGTTCATTTGTTTCGTACACCAGACCAGACGTCAAAGTGAACAACAACAGATTTTGGAAGAGTGAGGAGAAAAGAAATAATTCGAGCAGTGAACTATGTACATAGAAGAGTCAGGCATTGACCACAAAATAACGCACATTTTGAACATTTGCTATGATTTACCTCTGCTTATTTATTATTATTATTGTTATTACCATCAACAACATTCTCATGTTGTTTTCAGATTTTACCGTACCTTCTTTTTTCCTTATAATTTTTATTTGTGAACAGGCTCATGGGAGGAAATACATTACTGAATTTAGGACTGAAAAGTCCATTTAAATGTACAAAGTTCCAATATAGCGTCCATAAGAAAAAACTAAATCTTATATCTTATAGAGCAGAATAACTAACAACGACAACATACAATTTACTGTAAAGTCTCATCTCAAATAAAGTCAGGAAAAAATAAAAGTGCTTTTGGGATAAATCTTGCCTGCGAAACTGATTTCAAGGCCTACCTAGAAAATTCTCCTTTAATTGAAATAACTAAGGTTTGGAAACGTCATTGTATGAGGAACTCTCTATATCTGGGGAGGAAAAGAAACGAAACGCCATATTGAAATTATAATGATGACATCTTGTAATAAAAAAAAGTGCAAATTTTGAAATCTCCCTACAAATAAAATCAGGAAAAAATAAACTGGACAAATTCGGTTTGTCTGTCTCTCTCCGGAAGTACTTCGAATTTCGAAACTTTCTAAGCCTTATTTTGTTGATTGCCTAAAAACGCATCTTAGCCCACATTTAAGCGACTTCGTATCTCTTAGAGTTTCCGAAATCTCAATAGTGAGGGTCAAACATGATCTTTTTTATCTTTATTTTGTAAAAAGTCACTCAGCTGATCGAAACGTTAGTAAAAGCTCAAGCATATATATATGTGGTTTCATTTGATGTTTAGAAAACATGGAAAGTTATCAACATAATATAAGTTTTAAATGTTACATTAATCAATAGCTTCGTTAAGCTCAACTCAAAGAATTTTCCGAGTCGAGAGAAATAGATATTTATGATTATGCTTCCGTTTTAAAGGCTTCCGTGTGAACTAGTTATTAGTATATATAAAAGAATTAAGATAATAGGTCCCTACATATCTAGGTTGGGAAGTAGGCCATTATCGGTCGACCACTTTTATATTTTATTTAGTTGTAGAGTGTCAAGAGATCTTATAAGATTTGAATATTTTCCTTGTATAGAGTCAGTTACCCTAAGATATACGTAAATCAATGATCATGTCCTTTCGTACTTGTTTTACAAATGCTTTGGAAAATCTAGTAGTCTGATGTCAAACTGACAAGCTCAAATGATAGGAATATCTTCTAGGAGCAGCCACAAAGGTCACGCCTGTCGTTATAGGTGTATGACCCCTCGGTTTGTTGGGCGTTATTATAGCCACCCTATAGTATATAAAAAATCGGGTAACGCGATCCAAATCGCAGTCGTTTTCACGCCGTATTTAAAAATAGCCGCCAACATGTAAGCAGGTTAGTCGATGTTGTACTGGAAATTATATAAATGCCATAAAAATAGTATTCTTTGTCAGCTATTCGGTGTTCTGCAAGACTTAGAGCTAGGAACGTTATATATTCTGGTATTTTCCTTGCATTTGGGGCTTACCTTCAAGAAAGGGGCTCTCCGGATCAATAGTAGCCCACAGCTGAGCTCCAATGAACGGCCCCGAACACACGATGTACATCACAATGACAGCCACAGTCTGTTTGACAGTGTTGATTTTGGCCCTTGATATGAACGGCGTCCGTTTTGGGCCATTTTGCTTATGGCTGCTCCTGGGCCTATAGATTGATTCCGTGTTCTTCCAAATTTCCCTACAGATTCGGGTGTAGGTGTAGACTAGCACGAACAACGGGATGATGAAGACTGAGATGCAATACCTGGAAGCAGATAGTACTGGTTAGCTTTAGGAACAGGTCTGGCCGCGAATAACTAGCAACTGCCGACTCAGCCCACATACTCATATGCAAGCGTTCTCACCAAAGCGACGGCAACCCGACCTTTTGCTCAACGGACTCAGATGCTGCAGTCGCTAATTGCCCACCAGTTGCTTAAAGATGCCATCTTTGATGAATTTCCCATCAAAGCTTTGGCGCTAAATTATATTTATGAATCTTGGGAGCAAAGTTTTGCCACTTTTAAAGAAGTAAGATATTCGAAATATACTTTTGGGAACAAAATATCGAATTTCACATATTTAAATTCGAAAATGAATGAATGTTTTTTGGATGCTATATGACATCTTCATCGCGAAAAAGCATGTTACTCATTTCCGTCAATATGTCTGCCTGTTTGTTGGTCTGTCTGTTCACTAATCCTTGGTGTGTCAACAACTGAGAATGCCTGCTTGAAATTGAAATCAAATTGGCTTCAAGTTGATTGACTATGCATTTTCCACGCAACGCGATCATCAGTTCATAAAGAATTGTATTCGGTCCAACAAAAAAATTAAACCTTTCAAGTCAACCAAACAGGCTCATATACAATTATTAGTGAATACACCATAGTCACATTCATTTGATAACGCAATAGCTAGTTTCTTCCCTGCTGTCAGTAATGTCTATCTGGCAATGCGCTATATCATAAGCGCTACTATCACATGCCTGCCGGCGATGATGCCAGACGCAAAGCATACTTTGGCGTATGGAAGTCGCCGTAGCATCGCATCGTCCTGACAGATCGCGTGTCTCCCCTATAAATATGTCTCTTTTATATACGGAGAAATCTTTGATGTTGATGGAGATATGTAGTAACAGATGCATAAATTACTTTGTTTGGAAGAGTATAAATGTACTACGTCAAAAAAAATTATATATACTTCCCCCTCCCTAAAACCCACCAATTTTCAACCCCTGAAAATGATCAGGAGCTTCTGGAGCGTCAAAAGACGAAGTTTGGGCAATATTTTATTTTTACGTGTTTTCCCCCAGCTCCGCCGCTACTAGATCAAAAACTATAAGCCTTTTTCGTCCTTGGCATAGTAGCTACGTTTCCACCATCCAAGTCCGAGCTGTATTTCTCAAGTTATCGCAAGACCGACTGATAGGCCGACAGAAATGAGTCACATGCTTTTTTCTTGATGTACATTTCATATAACATCCAAAAAATATAATATCTCAATTTAGAAATCTTTCGCGAATACAATACTTCCATGCCTGTAGGCGTGTTAGGTAAGAACAAAAAAAAAACACGCTTATTTTTTTACATCTCAGAGCCATTTCTAGAAAAAAATAAAGGAGTTGAAAGTAATATTACCTATACTTCTGATAACATTCACGCTTATCACTAGCAATACCGGCTATCCATCACCTACTTTACCTGCAGTGGTTCCGATCCGAATACGGCGATGTTGCCAATGACGCTCCAGCGATGCGATATAAAAATTGCAACTACAAGGGCAATATAATTGACTGAGTATAATCAGATACGGTAGCAACATTAGGTCTGTATTTATTTTGGTGTGAAATAACGAATACACGTACCTTAGCAGCCTTCTGCTAATGTAGAGATACTTTTCTCAAGCAAACTCATCGTTATACAGACGGATAAGGGTCTTCATAAGTTTCGAATATGTATAATACCAGGGGTGCGTTTGTAAATCACTTGGCAGTGTAATACCGTACACAGTAATGGAATGTAGATTGACAGATGAAATTTCACTCTGGAATACCGTGAAACTTTTGTTTTAGAACGCCTAAATTATTACAGAGTCATGTAATGACACTTGATGACAGATACTAATTTCTAGCCAGGTTTTCTGCGGCCATTGTAGTTATTATAAGAGACCCTAATTTTGAGCCGTTTTTGACAACCAAATAAAATAAACAAACGACAAACCATCAGAATGACAAGTGACAGAACTCTTATTCCCAAGGTTTTGAGCTCAGGAAGAAAATCACACGTTTGACGTTCCAGAAGCGTTACTTTGTTCTATTTCCGAACACATGTAGCAATTTACGAACGCAGCCCTGGGCGTACGAAAGTTGTTTAGATATTATGTACACTCAGAGTCGATAATTTTAAAAGATGGCAATACGTTTCTCTAATTATATTCATTCTATTTCAAGCCTACAAAACCTGACCCAGTCTTGATGCATATTTTAAAGTCCATTCATCCACAACTGCAAGGGAAGTACTGAGTCAACCTACTTAACGGCATATTTTTTTATTTGAAAATATTAATTATTAGAATTGCCAGATATGAGTATATGGTCTTCAAGGCGCATCATAATGAATTATGATCAGAGCAGCGTTGCATGAATAGAAGACACGTGGTAATATTGTTTACAGGCCATAGGATTTTCTTAGATGATATTTTCTCTGATTTATGTGTCCAAATTTATATCATGTCAGGACAAAGCTCTAATCACTTTGAGAGCTGTAAGTAACTTCCCACTAGCTAGTATAAAAAGACGGCAATTAAACTTTTTAAGCTTTCGTAGGCAGAAACCCAACTTTCTTGTGTATGTATGAATACCTGGGTGGCATCATCATTGGATTTTTTCCAACTACTAAAGTACGCTCGTTTAATGGATTGTTTACCTTTAGCCCGACTTGCTTGTAGACGTAATGGATCTCTTCAAAAAAGACGTATTTATAACAGTGGCGACTCGTTATCATTCGATAGATCCCCCTCTGTTCATTATCCCTCTTCGCCTACTAGCGATAAAGCATTTTAATCGCAACAGAAATGGAAAATGAGATCTGGTTTTTGAATGTTATACGACATGTACATCACGAAAAGCCATGTCACCGATCAGCGTCGGTTTGCTGGTATGCCTGTATGTGTGTCTGTCTGCTAAATAATTATTGACTCATCTATACATTGGAAAGTACCGCTCAGATGTTGATGAACTTTTCACACAATGTTACTACTATGCCAAAATAAAAAGATGTGAATGCTTACGGAACGATCATCAAGATCATTCATATGCAGATTGGATTAAAATATTCGTAGTTAGCTTTTTTCTCAGATAGGCTAACTTGAGTCTATATATATACATATATATGTGTATATATATATATAGGCACATTGGAATGGAGGAATACATCCCTCACACAGTGAAAGTTCCTAAACCAGTGTCCAACGGCTGGTTTAACAAATCGTGTGACACTGCTCGCAGCAGCAGAAGATCAAGGCACACAGAACCTACTTACAAAACCCCACTGTAGAGAACAGACAAGCCGACGTTGAGTCCAGAAACAAATATAACGAAGCGGTTCGCAATGCCAAAAACCAGCACGATATAAAAGTTAGGCACAGGGTAATGTCGCAGCGCAATGGCAGTCGGTCTTTCTGGACGCTGGCCAAGCAGATTGAAAAGAACTTCTCACACAGTAGCCTTCCACCACTTACGTGTCAGGATGGAACTATTGTATTCGACTCAAAGGCCAAGGCGGAAATGCTAGCCAAGATCTTTGCTGCCAACTCCACCATGGACGTTCCCACCAACGCCCAAGTGCCGTCAATTCAAAGGGTTCCCCACACTATGCGGGAGGTAACATTCAGGCATAAGACCGTAAGACGAGTGCTCTTGTCGCTCGACATCAACAAAGCTTCTGGTCCGGACTTGATTCCTGCCATTGTACTGAAGAGTTGTGCAGCGGAGCTTGCTCCAGTTCTTTCGCGTCTCTTCCAGATATCTTATGAATCCGGCACCTTCCCAGAAAACTGGAAATTTACCCATGTCCAACCCATCCCAAAAAAAGGATCTAAGACCGACCCTTACAACTACAGGCCTATAGATCTGCTTTCTGTTATAAGTAAAGTGATGGAGAGGTGCATAAATCGCGAGCTTCTGGACTACCTTGAACGTCACAGCTTGATTAGCGACAGGCAGTACGGTTTCCGGCACCAACGATCCACAGGGGACCTCCTAGCTTACGTCACGCAATTGTGGAGTAAACTCATCCAGTTTCATGGTGAGGCTCATGTCGTTGCTCTTGACATCACGAAAGCGTTCGATCAGCTGTGGCACGCTGCCCTCTTAAGCAAACTTCCATCCTATGGCTGACTTTATCTCTGGCCGCAAGATATCTGTCGTAATTGACGGATTCTCCTCTTCATCCCACAACGTCAACGCGGGTGTTCCCCAAGGACCGGTCTTGGCTCCAACACTGTTTCTCTTAAATATCAACGACCTCCTTTCCTGCACGACCAACCCAATCCATAGCTTCGTTGATGACAGCACTCTACATGCAGAAATTCAGAGTGATAAGCCGATCTCTGCCGCTGAGCTGGAAAAAAGAAGACTAGTGACGTCTTCTTCTCGGACAAGGGACCTGGAGGCTATCACTGCTTGGGGATGCAACAATCTTGTACAGTTCAATGCTTCCAAAACCCAGTACTCTACTTTGACGAACAAAAAGCGTCCTAGCGCTCATACAGTTTCGATGGACGGCCGAGTTCTACCAAAGAGCCATTCAATTCGGCTGGTCGGAGTCCAGATCACCGTGGACCTGATCTGGCACGGACTCATCTCCTCAATAGCAGCAGCTGCTGGGAAAATCTAGGCTATTTGTTTAGGGTTAAGAAGTAGTTTTCTCCGCATGACCTTCTTAATCTATACAAGGCTCAGATAAGGCCTAGCCTCGAGTATTGCTCACACATTTGGGGTGCTGCCGCCCGACTACATTGTCCATGCTCGATGCTGTCCAGAGGAGGGCGGTCCGACTGATCGATGACTCTTCTCTAACAGACAGTCTCGGGACTCTTTCGCGCCGACGGGCCGTCGGCGATCTAGCTCTTTTCTATCGCTACACCAACGGGCTTTGCTCCTCAGAGCTCTCTTCCATGATGCCCCCGCGCGATGTGACAGCCAGACAGACCCGCCTGACTTCGGCGTCCCATCCTAACTTCCTACATC